ATAAACATAATGCCCTAAAATATAATACTTTTAAACTATTCTCTCCCCCATAGACTTCAACGCCGTAAACTATTTCATCCAGTTTTTCTCAGCCTTACCCCCACCCCTAATTGCTTGATCTTAGAACTCTTACTGTCTTTTCTTTATCAGTGTCTGTTTATCAGAAGAGGATATGCATCTTCTAGACTAGCTGTTATCTCTTTGAAGCCTTCCCCCCCCCAATCATATGTGAATTGAAACTTCATCTGCCTATTTACTGGGGAAAGGGAGTATCTGGATGTGATTGGTTTTCTTTCAGATAGAGAAATTCTTTGATTTTACTAACAAAATGTGAAGTAAGTTGGTGTCTCACCCTAATATAAGAGCCTGGTGACCTCTCCCAGTCAGGAGGCAGTCTTTGAGGCCAACCTGCTGTCTTCCCAGATCTGTAATAAGGTGCTTATGGATAGTGCAATCCGTTTGTCTTATTGGTAATTGCCTGAGGAAAGAATTCCTTGCGTTTAATAACGTTAGCACACTGGGCTGTGTCAGTTCAGTAACGCTAGCACACTGGGCTGTCAGTTCAGTAACGCTAGCACACTGGGCTGCGTCACAGGAGAAAGAACATTCAAAGCGCTGATCTCCTTACCTAAGCAGTGCAACATGTAACACCATGGCACCCCATATCTTCACTCTGTTGTTGTTGTTGTTATCTGCCAATTACCCCAGTCACTAAATCAGTCCACCTCATAGAGGGTCTTCCCCTCCTGCACCGTCCCTCTACCCTCCCAAGCATGACATCCCTCTCCAAGGACCTGTCCCTCCTTACAACATATCGAAAGTATGTCAGACGAAGTCCCAGAATCCTTGCCTCCGAGGAGCAGCCTGGTTTAACCCTTTCCAGGATGAATCTGTTTTCCTAGCAGTCCATGGTACATTCAATACACTTCTCCAGCACCACAGCTCAAAGGCATCAATTCGCCTTCTATCCTCCCTAGTCATTATCCAGCTCTCTGATGCATAACAAGTGATTGCAAAGACCATGGTCTGTATCAGACGCACCTTAGTCTCCAGAGTGACACCATTGCTCTTCAGTACCCTGGAGAGGAGGTCCCTAACAGCAGACTTTCCCATTGCAATACTTTTTTTTGTTGGTTGGGGTTCTTTTGTTTGTTTGTTTTTAAATTTCCTGGCTACTGGTGTCAAGAGTGTTGACCGTGGAGCCAAGCAGAGTAAAGCTGTGAACAATCTCAATCTCTTCACCATCCGTCCGGATGCTCTGGAGCGCTTTAAAGAGGCCACTCACTCGCTCACTGCTTTCCAGTCAGTTGTAATTCCTGGCAATCCTCCAGCAGGTTTCTGGTGCTGCAAATCTTAACTAGAGGAGGCTGCCCACCTTTCTCCCATGGACCAGCTGGTGGATCTGAGCTGCCTGAGAAGCTTAGTCATGGGTTGGTAGTGGTGGTGCTGGTGGTGGTGGTGGTGGTGGTGGTGGTGTGGACCAGTGAGACAGACCAACCCGTAGCTGACTCTCCGGCGGGTTTCCAGAGGCAAGGAATCGTATGGGAGCAGACTGCCCATTTTTCTCCTGTGGATTCGAACCACATGCCTTTGGCTTGGCAGTGCAACTCTTTCCCGCTAAACCCCCAGAGCTCTTTCACATGAAAATATTTTCAAGAGAGAGTGCAAGCATAAGAGCTGCAAAAGAGAATGTCTCATGTGATATATATTTTTTTAATTTAGAAAAAAAAAATAAAGGAGGGGAAATCCCCATAAGACATATGTAAAGACATGAGTTTGTGAATACATGGAAATTTTTTGCAAGGGTTCAGGTTATTTAAGGAACCTCAGAGAAGGTGGGGGTAGCTTTTACTTCTCTTTTTTTTAAATTATTTTATTTTGTTATTTTGTGTGTGTACCATCAAATCAGATCTGATTGATATAGGAGGAGATTGCCCCTCCTCCTCCTAAAGAGCCTCTGGTGGATTCGAACCGCGTACCTCTGGGATTGCAGTGCAGCTTCTTGCCACTAGGCTACCAGAGCTTTCTATTCCTCTTCCCCCCCTTTTTTTTAATATTATTTTTATTTTTAATTATTATTATTTGTGTGTGTGTGTGTGTGTGTGTGTGTGTGTACCGTCAAATCAGATTTGACTGGTACAGGAGATTGTTCCTCCTTCTCCAGCAAAGCATCTGGTGGATTTGAACCGCTCATATCTAGGATTGCAGTGCACCTTCTTGCCACTAGGCCACCAGAGCTCGCCTCCCCCCCCCTTTTTGACCTTCTATAATAATCAGATCTTTAGTCCACAACTGTCAAGTCAGTTCTGTTGCACGTTGAAGAAATCAAGACATGTTGCAATGTGCCACTATGAATGAATGAAAGTCCAACTTTTCTGTAAACTTCCACTTAAATCACAATAAAAAATAATAATTAAAAAAGCAAGAGAGAGGGAGCCTAGGTCCCCACAACAACAACAATAACACGGAATCTAACAAATCCTCCTTTTATCTCCGTGATCTCCATGTCTTGACCCACCGGTTTAGACCTCCAGCACCTCCTTCCTCTGACACAGGAGTCCTGACTCCCACCTTCTCCTTCCTCACACTGAGGCCTTCCTACCCACAGCCCCTCCTCCCTCAGACCCAGGAATCCAGCCCCCCCCAGACCCTTCTCCTTCAGCCCCCCCAGCCTCTGGTCCTTCGGACCTGGAAGTCCTGAACCCCAGTCCCTCTTTTCTCAGACCCAGAAGTCCTGACCCCCAGCCCCTCCTCCCTCAGACCCA